GGTAATGGTAGCAACCCACCCTAAGTCATGCAGGATTGTATTATAACGACTCTAATATTGAAGTAGTGTTACGTCGGACGTCTATCGTTCCTCTCAAGTTCGTTTTCAAATAAGAAAATGTTCCATTAATAATTCCTTTTATTCCTAGAATTAAGAACCAAATCATTTTGCTTTAATTTATAATCAATCGATATATAAAAAGTAATAAGAATAATCATAGATCTATCCTGTTATCCAGGAGTGCATTAGCAGGATACTGATATTAAATTCATAATCTCTCGGACAGTAGAACTTCCTTTCTAGTTCCTCTTAAAATAAGAGAATCGTTTCATTCAAGAATCTTTCTATACCTAGATGAGACAAATGCATTAATTTACTTTATTCTACCATCAGTAGTTGTATAAAGCGAGCTCAAAATAATTCCAGATCCATCTTCACAGAGGATTCATCACTGACTCAGGAGTGCATTAGAACGATACTAATGTTAAAGTAATATTGCACCAGACAGTAACGCCTCATTTCTAGCTAGTCATAAAATAAGACAATCGTTTCATTTACGATTTCTTATATAGCTAGATGTGAGAAATAGATTAATACACTTTAATCTACAATTAACAGTCTAATGAAGAGTGCTAAAAATGATCCCAGATCTTTTCTTGATGATGCAGAAGTGTATTGTAATGATGCTCATATTAAAGTAGTATTCCATCGGACAGCACGGTAGTACTTCCTTCCTAGCTCTCGTCGTAAAATAAGGAAATCATTTCATTAAAAATTCCTTTATATCTTGATGTGAGAAATCTATAAATTTACCTTAATCTACCATCGACGTTTATTTAAAGAGAGCTAAAAATAATTCCAGATCCAATCTCACTGGGGATTCTTTAACTCACTCAGAAGGGTATTATAACGATACTAATGTTTAAATAACATTCAATAGGACAGTAACACTTCCCTTCTAGCTCATCTTAAAATGAGAAAATCATCGTTTCATACGAGATTCCTGTTATGACTAGAATCGAAAAATAGATTAATTCATTTTAATCTACGATTAACGGCTAGATAGAGAGTACTAAGAATGATTCCAGATCCATCCTCGGTGATACTGGAGTCCATTATAATCAATATTAAGCAGTAATATATCAGAAGATAGCATTTCTTCCTTAGCCAGAAAATTTTAATCATCAATTTCAATCAAATAATATATTAATAGCTTTGAAGGAACTTTGTATAGAACATAGTAATAATAACAAGGAAGATTTTTATTGTCACTTATTATTGACTTTTCTCTTTTATGCCAATTGAATGAAAAAGATATTTTCAAAATAAGAAACATTTATTTTCCACCTCTAAAATGCAATTATCCGTTTTATCATCGCAAAGATATGTTACTGTCTACTGCAGTGGTAAAATATTCTACCTTGTTATGTACAAGTGCTAAATCTCTTTAACAGTTAAAGCAGTCCACGATGGAATGGGTGATTGGAGATAAAGCATTTGAGCATCTCTGCTTATTAACAAATGTGCTATAATGCTGTTAGATTGTTAAAATCGGTTAGAAAATGATTTCTTCTAAAAGCAAATTCTCAATCCGACGTGTAATTGAGGTAATCATACACCTATCTTACTCAGTTTATGGTATAATTACTCTTTTTGATCCCCTTTAACTTTGTTCATTTATTAAAGTCGGTTAGAAAATGATTCCTTTTAAACGTAAATTCTTATTCTGACCTGCAATTTTGAGATACATCTACCTTAATCCAATTATGTGATTGCTACTCTTAAGAATGTTTACTCCATTAGCTCCCTGGAAACGGTTAGAATTTGTTCCTTTTAAATATTCGACGAAAATTTCTCACTCTGGCATGCAATTGAGATAGTTCTACATTTGCCTTAATACGTCTATGGTCCAATTACTCTTGTTAATGAGTTTTAACACCATTAATTTGTTAAAGTTGGCTAGAAGTTATTTCTTTTAGACATTCAGCGCAAATTCTCACCTTGACATGCAATTGAAATAGTTCTATATCTACCTTAATGCGTTTTAACATCGTTAATTTACTAAAATCAGTTAGAATTTATTCCTTTTGAATATTTAACGTAAAATCTCACTTTGGTATGCAATTTACTGTAGATAATTACGAGTGTACTTCTGCCTTAATGCGTAATACGTTTATGGTATTATTACTCTTGCTAATGAGTTTTAACACCATTAATTTGTTAAAGTCGGTTAGAAGTTGTTCCTTCTGAATATTCAACGTAAATTCTCACTTTAGCATGTAATGAGGATAATTATGAGTGGACGAGTACATCTACCTCAATATATTTATAGTATTATTACTCTTTTTAATAAGCTTTAATATCGTTCAATTTTTAAGGTCGATTAGAATTTATTCCTTTTAATTAAATATACTCAACATAAATTTTAAGGTTAGTATACAACTGAAATAATTACTAGTATACATCTACCTTAATTAATCCATTTATGGTATAATTACTTTTTTAATGAACCTTAACACCGTTAACTTGTTTAAAGTCGGTTAGAATTTATTCGATCAAGATATTCAAAGACAATTCTCAACCTAGCATGTAATTAAAATAATTATACATCCACTTTAATATGCTTATGCTATGATTGCTCCCCTTATTAGCTAATTATTTTAATTTTTATGTAATTAATTAAATTTAGTAGTAATCATTTTTGGCCTTGGAATTGTTGATCAAAAGAATGAAAACCTCCTATTTCTAACATCATAGAATGTTCTAATAAATTAAATGCATGCAGAAGTAAATCCATAAGCGTTTACATATTCTTGAAATCTAACATTCTTTAGATTTCAATTATTTTAATGTTTGTCTCAATAGCGTGGATAATTTCTTTCCATCAAAAGGCTGAAAACATATTTCCAGCATGATAGAATACTGTAGTAAACGAATTACATACGGAATTAGTTCTATAAAAGTTTATAGAATCTTGTCAACTTTAAGATTGATCTAGCAGAGCAGATAGTTATCTATGATAATATCTAGATTTCATGAGAAATTTTGTTCTAAGCTCGTTTTTAAAGTCTGTGATGAAGTAGATTAAAAAAATTGCCCAGCAACGTTCTTTCAAATACTTTCATTTCCTTTTAATCTTTGCTCATATAGCATTTATAGAATGACATAGAAATGGTGGATACTTTTATTCATTCAAGACAGTGATTTCTTAAAAATATTTATTCCTGAGCTCATCTCAATATCGTTTCGATACGTTGAATAGAATACTCTTATACAGTATATCCAAAGCAATTAATATTATCAAGAACCTTATATAGTTGAAGTATTTCCGTAGAAAGGTACATCATTTCATTTATGAAATCTCCTTTCTGTCTTTACCCTGAAAGTGACTTGAGCAGCTGATTACAGGCAATCTATTCACAAGCATTCGTACCACTATTTCCGATTTCTATTCTACATAGTTTTGACTAAATCTCAAGGCATTAAATATTAATGGTACATGCTCAAGAAATTCACTAGTGCTGTTTAATTAATGGTTGTCAGGTCTATTAAAAGTGTTACAGGCAATCTATCATTGAAGTAGAGTTGAATTTTGCACCTATATTGTGATTATCATTAGAAAATACGAATAACGCATAACTTGAATCAAATTCTAGAGTTTATTTACTTTAGAATCCAAATATAGAATTCATCAAACAATGACGTGAAATTACCAATAGTGCTCTTTCGGTCAAGACTTTGAGTTACTAACAGTATTTAAAAGTTTGAACTTAAAATCTTATTAAGGAGAATTGGGGTAATTTTGTTAGGTTGAGCTGCTCTTCCAAGTACAGAAATTGCCACATTTCCAGTATTTGGTCTTGATTTAGCTCTATTACAGAGGTAAAGCTATTATTTTCATGCGTATTTATATCTAGCCTCAATCAAGGCATGAATAGGAAGATTGTATGAATTCTAATCTACAAGAGTAGCTATAATTATGCGATTATTCTCTTTTGAGCAGTCCTGAATGAATTTCATCCACTATCATTCATTGACTATGTTATAGAATAACATTCTTCTCTTCTACGGAGTTTCCTATTAGGCAACAGTTTTAATATTATCGTTATAATTCAGATTGATACCTTCGGACATTAATCCGTAAGGATGTTTCTAATAGCAACTAGAAGTGAATGATTCCTTTTACTATCATCTTTCATTCCTAACCTGTCGAATCTTAGTGATTAGTAATGCGAAAATAGATTTTGCAATAAATTATTATTTCCAAGTAAAATCTCCTTTCAATTCTTTCTTCTGATACTTAAGTTAATTTTGAATGAAATTATCGAAACGTTCTTATTGCATTGGAAGTTTGTAATGATGGCTAGCCTAAGCTAATCCACAGAGAGACATATGTCTTGATCTTATTGAACGTAGAACAATTTCGTTAATCCAATTAGAGACAATTTTAAACTGTAAAACTACTTAATAAGTGGAGGGGAATTCGGTTGAAATGATAAGTTGTAGAGCTTACCATATACTCGAATCAGATTCGTTGTAATTTTAACTTTACTATACCATCTTATTTGGAGACATTTTGCAAAATGTATTCGTTGTAGGACTTGACACTATTACATTGTTTTCACTCTCTCATTTTCTTGTAGATATCGACTGAAATGGATAAATGGCTGTTTTAAATCTGTAGCGATATTACGTAAAATGCCTATCTACAGCAATTCATTCTGTTACAGAGAGAAAGAGTGGCTAAACATTCACAAGTTATTGAATTAAGCTAAATTATTTTTAGCTTCAACTCTTAAAAGTAATCTATGGTGAATACTAGATACAAATCATTTTATTCTTGAAAAATAATCCTATATTGAAAGCTGAATACAAAGACACCTTTACTATAATTCTAGGTTTATAATTACCTAAAAAATCTTTCTAGATACCCCAATACTAGTCTAAAAAAATTATTACTCTTGGTGAGAAAGTCATTCTACAAAGACTCTGGCTACAAGATGGCTAACAATTTCAAAACGAAACGATTGCATCAGAGTTTAGAAAATATTTTAATCGATAACCAGAGCCATAAGAAAAAGATTGATCTTTTTTTACGTATTATCCAAGAAAATCTGACTCAATTAGATGATATTATCCGCTACTTTATATCTCGAGTTCATGGATCCAATTTTAAACCTTACCTTACAATTTTAATTATTGCTCTATGCCGCATTTACATCTATCACCATCGGAAGATGAAATCGACCACAAGAACTCAAGTTTATTCATTACTTTATTTTATCGTAGATACATCATTTTTTCAAGCATCGCCTTGTATGCTACACAATCATGTTGTTGATATCCTAGGTCGCGATCAAACTCTTTTAAATCGACTTACTAAGCAACATAGCCTTACAGCCAGCAAATTAGTTCCTTATATCGACAATAATCATAGCCAATTTTTTATCTTGTATCAAAATTTAATATTATCCAGAGAAAGTATCCGGTATATATCCATAGGCTTATGTGGCATTAATAAAATCATTCATCTTCATTCTCCATCCTACCCATGGCAAGAATTAGCAATAGAATTGTTAAAGATGAAAGACTCTCCGCTAATAGGCCCAATAACCAATTTATCATCTAATCAGCAAGTTAGTATCTTATGTCAAAGTATTCAGTTGGCTGTTAAAATACTACAAAATGATTCTTCGTTTCGTTTAATGAACGATATGATTAACATCATATTGCCGACAAATTTAATAATAGATAAGCTATACTCCAATTTAATCAATGTCACTTATTCTTGTAGCATCTTACAAATCTTGACCATTGCTAAATCTAATTTAGTTCATATTTTAAATAATTATGATATAATTGGTTGCCAAATATGTCAGTGGTTAATTGAACAATATAATTCATCAGCGAATCATCAACAAGAAATTATCATTCATAGCCTCACAGAATTTATCATCGAATGTCCAAATGAATTTGAATTATATTCAAAAGTGATACACCAGGTTGCTGTATCTTTTTCCAATTTATTTGGCCATGCTTCAAATCCATATATCCGTCGATTATTACTTAAATCATTAGATCAAATATTTAAAACATATCGCCTCGAAATACATGCTAATCAAGCGGTTAATGAAATTTTTAAGCAACTTCTAGAGGATAGAGGCATTGATCCAGTACAGCAATGTTACTTAATTGATATTCTTGCTAATTTTGCTAATTATTACAGCAATGTTCTAGGGGATAAAATTCGGGCTAAGTTATGGCTTTGTCTTAAAGAGGATAATATCCATTTTGATTCAACTGTGCGGTTAGCTATTGAAAAAGTATTAATTTGTAAATATAATGCTTGCCAGGTAGAAATAGTTCAAAGCATTCTTCTTTCTTCTCAACATGAAAGTAATAAGATCAAAGCAATCAATATTTTACAAGAATACAGTGAATTAAGTGATTCTTATTTTGAAGCTAATTTATCAACATTGGTATCAGTCTTGAAAGATGATACTTATGTAGAGACTAGAGTAAAAATTATCCGTATTTTTATTCTTTGGATACAGCAAGATTATCATTCCTCAACAATTCTTCAGTATCTATGGTTAGTTATTATAGATTCTACATGTACATCATCCAGTAATGAATTAGTTAGAAATCAAATTGTTGAACAATTATTGGTCTTGCAGAAACTTAACCGAGAGCAAGTTCAATATTTAGCAACGAAATATAGCGTAACAGCAATTCGAAAAAAAGCTTTACAACATTTAACAAGCGATGCTATGACTATCGAGAAAAAAACTCTAATAACCTTTCTAATATCACATTTACAATTTGAGAGCAATACAGAATTATTTAAAGATATTCTTAATGCCGTTTTAATTATCTTAAAATCTACAGGCTTAGAAAATGAGTATCAACATCATTTCCTGGCTCTTATTAAGAATCCAAGCATACCTAAAAGTAATAGAGTAATGTTAGTTCAATGTAATTACTGGCAGGAAGTGGAAAAATGGAAAAATACTATCCTATACGCGTTCGAAGACGCTTTACAAATAGATGCTATCGATCATTTATTTCGTCACTACTTTGAATTAAATCAAGAAGAAGAAAGAAAAGCAATAGAGTTATTATTCCTAGAGAAATTGACTTGTATTAACATCAGCCCGTACGTTAGGATTTGTCTAAAAAATACTGTGACATTAATCGACAAAATAAAATCCGATTTTCGACACGTACTGACATCAAATGGCAGTCTTGCTCAGCAACTTCATGGAACACTACATACGCCAACTGATACTTTTACCTGCATCAATAATAATGAAGCTTATTTGAATATAGCAAAATGGCAAGACTTGGTGTCAAGGAATTTCAACGCTACGAGAAATATCACTGAAAATAGTGGATTAAAAGCCGCCATCACTACCTTACCTAATGATACTATCGTAAGTAATGGAGGTAAAGCCCAAACGAAGAGCGAGCATAGTCAGTACACAAGCAGAAATGTCGACTCACAATATATAAATAGAAGGAATTATATACATTTTCTATTCCAACTAACCCTAATTATTGCTCTCTATATCTTTACCATCTATCAAGTCAACTGATAAAGTGTTAGCACCTTAAAGCTATAAGTCTTTGTGTCTGCAGAATTAAGCGAACAATTCTACAACTGTAATCTTACTAGTTAATTTATTATGTAAATGTTGCATGTATATCCGTATCTTATATATATTATATGCATGTTGATGTTTAAAATATCAAGTATAATAGTAAATGGCCTTGGAATACTGCATTGATTTATAAAATATTTAGCTACAAAGCACATAACTTCCTTTAACCTACAGCAAACATTCGACTAGATTTAGCAACAATACAATACTCTAGATA